GGTGCCGCCCCCCCGCCCGCCAGCCGGCAGGGCCTGAGGGGAGGAAGGCGCTTCATGGTGCCCCGTGGCAGCTGCGGGGCAGCGCGTGCTGAGGGGGCCGGTGGGCTGGCAGCGTGGCCAGGGAGGCTCTGCGGCCCGGTGGCAGGGACCAGATCACGTTGCAAGGAAGTCGTTCTCTTAAAGGATGTCTGTTCTTCAATGTTTTATAAATTCGCTTCGTCCACACGTTTCTTAATACAGTGTGGGTTGCCTTCTCCAGGTGAGTGCAAACTCACTCCACTGAGTTTGATGAAGATTTTTGTCGAAGAGCGAATAATGAAAGTATGTTAATGCCCTGTCCTAGCAGCAGCCTGACATTTTGACTTACAGTCTTCCCTGTCAGCTGTTCGAAAATGTGCTCCTACATGGCCATGTACTAAAGAAAGGTTTTCCGTATATGACTTCCCCTTGGCCTCCTCTTTCCTCCTCCTCTTGTCTGCCTCGTGCGGAAGCAGCTATGTGCAAGAGGTTTGTCATTTGTTGTTCTAGAAAAGAGAGACGTTGAAAAGGGAATTTCTTTTTAATTCTTTTTAAGTTACTAAATGACAGGTAGTTTCGTATGGTTTGTCTAAAATACATTAAAATACTTTAAAAAAAGGTTTATTAACATCATTGCCAGATCCTGAGATGTTTTGAGAACAGACTTACGTCTCTATTTTTTTAAAACATTTTTTAAAAAATCTTTCAGAGAAAGAGAGGCTTAATGAGATTACTTTAAAACCCCCATTTAGCTTTGAATTGTCAGTCAGTGTTTTCTTCTCAGCCAGTGCTTGGGCAGTGACCTTCCTGGTTTGAACTAATTTGATCAGCTGAAAATTGCTAAGCTGTAAGAGGCATTGCTGTTTCCTCCTTCCTACCCTCCTGTTTGTTGGGTGGTTTTGACAGGGAAAGGATCCCACTATCCCAGGTGGGTGTTTGACCACTAGACGGTAGGATTAGTCTCTCTCTCTTCTCCACTTCCCTGCAAATATTGAATTATTAATACAAAGTGAGACAGCTCTCACAGGATACACACTCATGCTAGCACAGCCTGCTGACCTGCGCACGAGCCTGACTTGGGAAAGCCAGGTTTAAATCCCAGGTGTGAGCCTGGGTCCCAGCTGGGTCTCCTGGATTCCAAGTTTACCCTCCGACTACTGTGTTGTAAAATCTCTTCACCTTCTACCTCTATCCTGATGCCAAAAAAAGTTTGCAGGAAAAATTTCACTTAAATTTTGACAAATTGTTGTTTCTAAAAGATTCGTTTCTAATTGACACCATGGAGCCTCAGCTGAGCCTAAGGGCTATGGTAGCCCCATGGATTTCTGCGGCCCCGTTACGTGAGAGGACATTGCACTTAGAGGATCCCAGTCTTCATCCATTTTTCATAAGTTTCTAGGACCTGCCTGTTACTCAAAAAATGGAAATGTCCTAATGAAGCCTCCAAAATATGGTTAAGGAAATAAGCCCATGTGATGAATGAAAGAAAAATACTAAAATTAAGATATGGCTTCCCAAACTGTATAACTATCATATGTGTTTGCAGGATTAGAGACATAGTTTGATTTCCATTAAGGGGCTTTTAGAATTGACCCAGCAGTATTTCAGGTTTGAGAATACATAGAATACATGAGATTTTACCCTGAGTTCTTCCTATATGCATGCAGTATAGGGTATTTGTTTCTTAAAAAGAAACTAATGCTGTTTTTTCATCCTTACAAAGAATGAGGATGAAATCCTCTGG